AGTAACACCCATATCGTCTAGCACATCATCCGTGAGAGGAATGAACGCCCGATCACACTTGATGATCTTGACTTGAAAGCCTGCCTTGTTGTAGCGGCGGAATATCTTATCCAATGCTTCAAATACAAGGTCAGTCTTCAGGTTCTGCACGGGAATACATGAGCGATAACACACAGTGGTATCAATGCAGGTGAGAAACTTAGCATTTTTGATCTCCACGTGATCAATACAGACGGTAATAGATCGATTTTGCTGATATAATTCCTCTGGTGGACTGAAGAAGTCGTCGTACGTCTTCTTCGGAGTTGGTCTTGTTGACTTGCCTTTCAATGTAGAGGTGTCAGGTCCAAAGATTGCTTCAGCATGATTGATCGCTTCCTCGGTGATAGGATAGTTCTTGATGAGACCAGATCGGATCGCATACTTCAGACTTTTGGTGCTTGCAGCATTGAGTATGTGCATGGCACTTCTCGCTTCCATTGCAGCCTTGACTTGTCTTGGAGTGAATCCTTCCTTGTTCTTTTGAACGGTTGCCATCTTGGAGGTCATCTCGAGTCCAGCATATCCATTCTGTTTGTTTGAAGAAAGTTCGAAATGGGGTTGATTATTGAAGTTGCTTAACTGACAACAGTACATCGCACTTGTCTCTTTGGCACCTGGTTTGACATTTGCTCCAAGTTGCTCCAACACATACACACATTTACAATTCACAAATCGCATCTTTCTGTCGTACAACCCAAATGGATCTCTTTCCTTTCTGCGGCTTTGAATAAACTGCAGACCTCGATCTGCTTCAGTAGCAATATCAGGCAAATCTTCATCTTCACTAGCATAGTGCCAGTTGGCTTGAAGTTTGACATTTGTCGTACCAGCAGGACATGGAATAAGATAGACATCAATGCCATTCTCATCCTTTCCCTTGATAGCATCGTGAAAGACATTTGACGTATCAAAATATACAGTTTTCAGAGCTTGCGGAGTTTGAGCTTGAGTTGCATCGAATCCTTGGCGCACTTGAACACCACTGAAGCCTTGTCGGCTGAGTTGCATTCCACTGAACGCAATCTCACCGTTAGCATTCATAGAATAAGGGACAGTAACAGTGCTGTCACCTTGAGTTGGAATCTGCATGAGCTGCATTCCAGAAGGAACTTGCATCATTTGATTACCTGTAGTACCAGCAAGTCGCAAAGGTGTGTTAACGCTTCCCGCTACACTTGATGCTCCACTTGTGGATGCTGAAGCTCCAGGAACTATAGCTGGAACAGTAGCTGGGACAGTTGCTCCAGTCTGATTAAGATTGAGCTTCTTCCCATAGTCAACATATTGATCCTGATTCTTCCATTGGGTCTTTGGTAACAGCCTGTCTGGGCATTTTGGAGACATATGATCTTCGTTGCCATACACATAACATGCTGCCTTCTTTCCATCTTTCGGTTTTCTCTTTCCTTTTCCTTTACCTTTATTAGGTTGGTCTTTTCCTTGGTAGAGGTTCACTCCAGGATTTTTAATCACATCCATGTGAATCTTCAACATATCTTGTGCTTTGCTGACCGTCTTTGGATAATAATCCAATTCTCTGCATCAGAGGAGCTGTTCTCGTTTGATTGCAGTTGCACAGAACTCCTGTTGCAAGACCGGTTTCAAAGATATCATCCTTGAACTTGTCTTTAGCAGCAGTATCGGTGCTAGCAATAGCAGCATACGCTTTTGTCTTGACTGCAAAATCTCGGAACCAGGCCACGCCATATAGATCTTGCAGGACTTCAGCCTGTCTCAAGAATCATTCCTTGAAATGCATCAAGTTTTCCGTTGTTCCTTGCTTCATAGCAAAGAAACTTTGATTTGCTTCCCAGAAATCCAAGAAATCATACTCAGCATCAGCACTCTTCTTCATGAATCAATCGTTCAATACATTTCAAGAGTTTGATCGGATCTTCAAGAGTCGATTCACCTTGACGCTTGATATCCATCGTCTTTGTCACAAACTTCAGCATGATGTTTGATTTGATGGTTCTCTTGTTTGTCTCAAAGTAGGCTGATCTTCGCATGTTCTCGTCGAGCTTTGCAGAATAGAGAATCTTGTTTTGGGCCATCTCTGTTTCTCTTGCAACAGCTTCAGTTTGAGTTGGAGCGTTCAATCTTGGAGCGATCGCATTGAAGTCGATCGACTTTCCATCTCAAATTGATTTCACCATGTCTTTGGAACATTTCATTCCAGAAGCTTGGATATAATCAATCACTCTTTCTTCGGCATCTTTGTACGACAATCTTGCCTTTCCATCGTTTTCATCTTTTGTTGAAAATAGATGTTTCACAACTGTTGAACTCGAATTGCTCTTGACTTTCTGAGGAGTCACACATCCTCTTCCACAACGGGATGAAGAACGTCTGATTAATGTTTGGCTTGAATTGATGATTCAATCACAAAAGTAAGTTCAACAATTTTCCCTTGGAAAATCCCTTGTTTACAGAACTTGATTCGACCTCTACGACAATTCTGTGTTGAATGCAGTACTTTGGGACATCTTGTATTATTCCCTGCTGCATTGTACGCAACACCAATATCTCACTTGTATAGGGTCATTCCCTTTTTGTAAGGATGCAGATTCTCCGACAGACTTGCGTCCGGCATACTGGCGTCGAATCCTGACATCGCGATCAAAGTTCGATTGTACATGTCAAAAACTTTGTACTTGAATAGTTTCTTTTTGGAACGTAAAAACTCATATTTCGTCATATCCCAACAATATCTCATCACATTTCAGTCAGCAGCAACTCATTGATAATGTCAATATCAACTACAAGAGTGACATGGTTGCTGAACTTGGACAATATGTTCATGCAATTGTGACAGATTCCAGCAATTCGATGGAACCCCAAAGTATCGAAGTGGTTTACATTGAATCTACAAAGGGACAATGTACTGGGCACCGAGTGCTCAACCTCAATACTAAGAAGATGATTTCCCGACCCTAGGTTGTTGTACTACCCGTTACCGATCAAGTAATCCAGCGTGTTGAAGCTTGGGCTGCTGCCAAAGGTGTTACTTCCATGAAGTTTTTTGATAAGAAGAGAGATTTGGAGACATCATTATTTTGGGAAGTACGTGGTCTGTCCTCCGTACGTATAGTTTTGTAGTCTGAAAGAACCTGATAGTCACAAGTTTCCCTTGTCTATATTTCGTCCAGTAATTGATCTGTTTTGGCTGACTAGCAGCGCATTTTAACGGTTTATCAGACCCAGTTAGCTCTTTGTTGCGAGCTAAAGCTTGAGAAGGCTTTTTGAAATAATATCTGGTCTCCAAAGTTTGTGGTTGACCGGCAAAGGTTGGATCGCCCATTGCCAAAGGATCCGTGGTTTTCACGTCGCTAC